ACAAATAGACAAGATACAAGTCTCACCACTCCTTAAGCAAAGGCAACAAACATTGGGGGATAGGCACCAGTTTGGCCTTTTTCCTTGTAGCACATCCATAGTATTGATCTTTTGAGGAACCAATTCCCAACGAAAAGCCCTAACCTTTGGTGGAACAGGAGTAGACCACACTTCCTTGACAAGAAAAGAACCAGGTACAACAGGAGAATGTAGTAAAGCATTAAAGAACGAAGAGCAAAAGAAGAATCCTGAGGAAGAATCCAGCCAAGTTCTACTATCCGAACAAGACTGATCTAGGAACACTGAAGATAGCAAAGAGAGCATCTCATCTGCACAAGACATTTCTGAATCCCTCAACCCTCTCCTTAGACCTAGATCCCAGGAACCCTCAGACCCATGTAGGGAGAAAATAGCCTTGAATTTGTTTACAGAAAGGGAATACAAAGAAGGGAACATATCCTTCAGGGGAGTGTTCCCGAGCCAGATATCCTCCCAAAACAAGACTTTGTTACCTGAGCATGCATCAAACCTGATGAAAGGATGGAAAGCAAGCACAACTCCAGCGATAGCTTTCCAAGGAGAACAATGGGAAGCCCTTGGGTCAACACCAGCATCCCAACCATTTGCTACCAAGCTATGTATACTCTTAACTACCTTGTGCCATAGACTGTCTGGTTCTAAGGGAAACCTCCACAACCACTTCCCTATCAAAGATGAACTTTTTAACCTAATATTACTGATACCTAAACCCCTTGTTCCCTCTTTCTAGCTACTTCCCACTTCAATCAGTGGTCTTTCTTAGTGTCACCTGGTTCCTAAAGAAAATCTCTCATTATCTTTTCAATCTGCTTTGCAACCTTGGCTGGTAATTTGAAAGTGAACAGGAAGTACACCGGAAGGTTTTCTAAAGTGGACTTAATTAATGTAATTCTGCCCCCTAGGGAGATGTAATTTCTCTTCCACCCTGTTAACCTCTTAGTGAATTTTTCCAATACTGGGTTCCGAAACCTTTCTGACCTAGGATTTCCCCCCAAGGGCAGTCCTAGATAGACCAAAGGCTGATCACTCACCTCACAACCTAGAAATCTAGCCAATGGTCCCTCCTCTTCCTCTTTATTTACTCCCACTAAACAGCTTTCAGATTTGCCTTCGCCTCTGGATACTTACAATTTGCAGATGATATGCAAAATCATATATGATAGAGAAAGTAAAATAATTATTTTCTTTGTGGTCTCTTATGATGCATGTTGATTTTGACATGAATTTAGAAGCATTTATTGCTATACATGTTGCTGAATGCTGAGTAGTTGGTAAATGCTTGGGAAATTTCTGAAATTTTGATAAAAGAAAATCTAATGTGATGAGTGTCACTATCCTTAACAGGTTCTCAACAAATATGCTATTTCATGCTTTTATGATGTAATCTTTCTTTTTATATCGGTAATTCTATGACCATGTCTTTATGCAGATGATGTGGGCTGCAGATTTTGATGAATCTGTGGCTCGTGAGTTAGAGGATCATTGTCTTGAACCATTGGTGGTACTGCTTCCAAAGGATTCAGGTACAGAAACTGGAGATGAAAGTGCGGAGAATGGTAATGGAAGTTCAATTGAAGGCTTACATTCCAAACATGGAAGTTTAGAACGATCCCTGTCTGATGCCAGTGGTATGAAATCAGTGTCAAGTCGTCCCTTTTGTGGATTGACTAGGAATTTTTGGTCAAGGAATGCTCGCATGCAGATCTGCACTGTAGTCTCATCAACAAAAGAAGGGGATGATGAATTACCTGTCTTCTGTGTTGCAGCAATTCTAATCATCAACCGCCAAAAGATCATAAAGGCAACCCATTCAATTGATGATATGATTAAGGCAGGTGCTTTAAATTGAGTGGAATCAGGCTTTAGTTAATTTATGGACAGTTTTTTAATTATCATCCCCAATGAATAATTTTTAATGACCAAATTAAATCACATCAATTAGATCATGTCAACCCTTTTATTAACAGATTCTGTTGCTAACATTGTCAGTGACCTTTGTACCCGTGTAAAATGTAAGCAATTGGATGGTTATTTTGAATGTTGAGGTGAAAGTTTAGGCCTACCACTACAAAGCTTTGGCCCAATACTGTGTTGATGAACATGTTATATGTGTATTTGAAAGGCCCAGATCTATTATATCGAGGCATGAGGATTAGATGTAAGTCAGTCCTCTAATATCAAGATTAAACTTAGTGATTAGCAGAATAGAACAGATCTGAATAACTGTATAAGAGAGGAAGATGGCGAAGAGAAGAGGTAAGAGAAGAAGAAGTCAAATTAATCACCCTTCTCCTCTAACCCTATTTTATTAATCTCTAAAAAATTGATGATGACAAGTATACCCTTA